GGTAAATAAATGAAAACAATTTTTGATGAGATTAGTTGCCGCATAGATGATTTTTTAAAAAAAGAACTTTTAATAAGTTACGTCCTGTGCATGGAAAGTGTAATAACATAACCGAATTCCAATAATAAAAGCAGCGAATTAATGGCAGCTCCCAGTTTCAAATAGAGGCTGTTATTCGTTCGGACATTATCCCTGGAGATAAAAGGTTAACGAAGGGCCAAACATCTGGTGGATCCTCATCAATTAACGTTCCCGGTCCGTTCGTTAGTTCTCGTTCCGTCCTTCTGTCGTTCCCAATCTCCTAAGCCTGTGGTTTGATTTGTTTTCTCGAATCGAAATTCGACCGGCTGCCACACGATACAAGCCCCAAGAAAGGGGAACGTGAACTGGGCCATAGAACTTGGGCAATTAAGCGCTTTTACGTGGCCGCAGATACTTGTTCGAAACTTGTCCCGAACCGCATGCTTCGCGGCGTCTAGTATCCGTTTGTTGCAAATCCTCCGTTGATATTGAAAACCCTGTTGTTAGTTACTATCTTATTATACAGCTCTCTGCGTTAGCTTTCGAAATTATCCGAAATATTATAATGATCCTTTATAATTATCGTAATGATTCTTTGCTTTGTTGCACTCTTGAATTATTGCATGCTTCGATAGATTCTATAATGAAATCTAAAAGTAGAAATACATAAACTTTTTCTAAACCTTTTCCCAAGAATTTTTGCTTTACTACACATATTTCGAATTTGTAATAAATATTGTCTTATAAAATACATTCTTATTCGAATATTTTCTTTGTCCAACAACGCGACACTTTCTTTTGAAACATCCCGTACGAAACGTCACGCCGCGAAAGCTGATTAGCTCGCTGATTAATTATTGATCCACGGAAACGCGAATTTCCATAATCCAAGTGTCCTTTCTCTCGTGATCCGAGGCGTCGCGACGCTGTTTCTGCAAACGCTGAATCGTTCCATATTTATCGCGAGTGGCTCGACTTTCGAGGATCGCGTTCAATGTTTCGCGCTCGCATTAGAGAAACGTCTTGAGCCGTTTTAATCCCAACCCGTACTTCTAATGTGCCTGTCGCGTGAAAATTGGACTTTAACGCGCGAATACGTCCCTGTATCCGAACTGGGAAACTGTGCAGCCGATTAAATTTCATTTACGAAATATCGATCATTTATTAACGTATGCACAACACGTATGTTCATATATTTAAATATTTGGTACGTTGGTACAGCTTGTATATACCGTAGTTACTGGGAAATAATTTATATTCAATATTAATGTTTTTAAAGTAATATTTATAAAAAGATTTATTCATTAAAAAAATTAGTATGTACCTAATATTGATATTTTAAACTGAACCCATATTTAATTCGATATAAACAAATTTTCATAATGTTAATATTTTAGCTTAGTACTTATATAGTATTAATATTTTTAGTTAAGTCAATATTTGACCAAAACATGTGCCATCGCATGATGCACATAAATTAAAAATAAGATCGAGCTAATGACCAAAGCAGTCGACGCCCACAACAATAACAACAACAACAACAACAAAAATAAGGTTCCTGAAGTGTAGCTGACGTGATTCTGAATAAGATTTCCCTTTGCAAAAATGCAGTTTGAAGCATCGTTTTTGAATTATTAAAGAAAAACACGGACCAATCAGAGCGCGAGGATTACGCATGCGCAGACGCTAGGCTCGAAGCTGTGCTCTCGCGTTTGCGCAAGCGCTCCGCCTCTAGGCTCGAAGCTGCGCTCTCGCATCTGCGCACGCGCCCCGCCTCTAAGCTTGAAGTTGCGCTCTCGCGTCTGCGCATGCGTAGTCCTTCCGCTCTGATTGGTCCGTGTTTTTTCTTAATAATTCAGAAACGAAGCTTCAAATCCCATTTTTGCAAAGGGAAAAGTTGTTCAGAATCTGGAACCCCACCACAAAATTCCGAGAATTACACTAGTTGTGAGACACTCTGTAGATTCCTATACATACACATTAATGGTAGCCCTCGATAAAAATCTATGTTGGTTAGAAGTATCTTAAATTTTGTAATTTAAACTAAACATGCAAAATGACAGACTAGATGTTAGATAACATAACGTTAAATAATTGCCATATTTTCATTCTCAACAAGCTCGCATGTTCTAATAAATTTGAGAAGGTCCAGCTCGATAACTGTAATTATTCCAGGGACATGAAATTTGTTTGTAGCCTTAGTTCCCTCCTAGCTTATTCCTTATTCTGTTCGATGATAATTACAGACTGCTCGTTGCAGCGATTGCACCATGCAATTTGAAAGTCCAAAACGTTGCAAGTGGCTCTTGTCTTCCATTTCGGCTAAGGTCTTTGTGTGTGTCTTCTCTTAATTGCAAAATATCATTCCCCGGGTTCTAATTGTATACCCGTGCCAAACACGATTGTGCAAAAACGGGGCCGCCATTTAACCGTCGCAATATCGCGAATATTCGACGTCGCAGAAAATTCACTTTTTGCAAAAAGTGAAACGCAGTGAATGGATCATTTGGCGGCGGCGAGTTGGAAAATACGTAATACTCGAGTTTCGACGGCGAATTTTTGGCGAGAACGAGCGCTCCGATGCGCGATACAATTTGCATGGAAATTAAAATATCACCGTGCGACTGTGCCACGGTAACCGGCTATTGTGAATTGATGTTGAAGAGCTTCGGCTCCAAGTATTTCACGCTTCGCGTACCGCCATTATTTCTCTCGTAGAAAATAGTTAAAGGAGTTCGTTAAAATTACTGCTCCAAAATAACAGTTTATGCAAACGTGGATGGAATGAACCGGGTTATGCTGGATCAATTTTGACTCATGGTTTCTTTTTTAGAAACTTATTAATGTGCAAATGTAATCTTACCGATGTGTGAACATATCTTATTAGTATCTAAAACAAGCATCTGACTAATGCATATGTAAAATGTTTAAATATATTCTTACTGCTTCGTGAAAGTGTCTTGTTCATTTTTAACAAGAGCATCTGATTAATGCACAAGTAAAATGTTTAAATATATTCTTGCTGCCTCGTGGAGGTCTCTTGTTCATTTTTAACAAGAGCATCTTATTAATGCACAAGTAAAATGTACAAATATATTCTTACTGCCTCATGAATGTCTCTTGTTCATTTTTAATAAGAGCATCTTATTAATGCATAAGTAAAATGTACAAATATATTCTTACTGCATCATGAAGATGTCTTGTTCATTTTTAACAACAGCATCTGATTAATGCATAAAAAAAATGTTTAAATATAATCTTACTGCTTCGTGAAGGTGTCTTATTCATTTTTAACAACAGCATCTGTCTAATGTATAAATAAAATGTATAAAAATAATGTTATTAGTTCATGAATGTTTCTTATTTATTTTTAAGAACACCATTTAACTAATGCATAAGTAAAATGTACAAATATAATCTTACTGCATCGTGAAGGTTTCTTATTCATCTTTAATAACAGCATCTGTCTAGTGTATAAATAAAATGTATAAATATAATCTTATTAGTTCATGAAGGTTTCTTATTCATTTTTAACAGCAATATCTAACTAATGCATAAGTAAAATGTACAAATATAATCTTACTGCATCATGAAGGTGTCTTATTTATTTTTAACAACAGCATGTATCTAATGTACAAGTAAAATGTACAAATACATATAATCTTACTGATACATGAAGACATATGATATATTGTATTTCATACATATGTAATGTTTCAATATGTGTAATATTTCAAAATCATGTCTTATTAATACACAAAATTAAAAAAATTTTATATTTGCTCTTTGATCTATCAAAACTTCTATATGATTCTATGTGTGCACATATGTTAATGAACTAATACATCAATGAACAATTTAATAGGATAAGAATATCACAAAATATCATTCTTAGCATATCAATTTGAAGTTCAGCATCTGATGTAGATGAACACAGTGGAGTCTCGCTATATGGCCCAAAGTTAGGATAGTTCAAAAATTTTTAAGGTTACAAATTTCCTAGTTTGAAATTCTCATAATTTTTAAGCTATATGCTTTCAAAACTTGGAAACTTAAAAATGGAAATTTTTATAAAAACCTAAATATCTGATATAGAAAACTTGAAAACTTGAAAACTTCCAAATATAGAAATTTCTAAATTCTTCAATTTTCTCTGCAATACTGACTGTGTTATCGACCAGATATTAAATACAGAGACCAACAAAATTCTACAGACTACAACATTCAATAACATAGTATCCACAATAGTATCTATAATTAAATTTCATACGAAATATGAATAATATCAATGTACCTCTACACATTGAACAATTTTCCAAGTAAATAAAAGAACACGAAAACCCCAAAAAAATTGACAAACGACCGAATTAACCTGATTGCCCAAAGTAAAATGTCAGCCGTCGAATAAATAAAAGTCAACCGAAAAAAGTGTCCACGTGTAAAGCAGCCTAGATGGTCAGTAGCCTAGATTAAATCGACTGTTTCCCATAGGTATGTTAGATATTATCCTCGAATTGTTCGAAAGTGGCACGTGAACTATCACGCGAGGTACGACCCTTTTCGCCCCCTGTTTTCATCCCCGTCGACCTCGGCCTGAACTTCGAAAACGTTCTGCTCTTTTTGCCCCGTGCAACCCTGAATTTTATGCACGTGATGAGCGATCGTTCGTCACATTTCGCTATGCCTCGCTATGCGACTTTCGTCGTAAAACGAGCCTCGAGCATGAATTTCGTGACACAGGGATTCGACCTTGACTTCTCTTGATGCACGCTTCGCGATGCACCGCGTTTCTGCATTGATAGAGAGCGACGAATTTATGGAACTGCGCGTCGGAGTTTCCTTTGATCCCGTAAAGAGTTACACAATGCCTGTGAATAATCGCGTAATCAATCATTACGGTGTGAATGGAGGTACTGATAAAACGCTGAATGGAAATCGGGACCGCGTGATTTAATGAAAGTATCGATTCTCTGTTGCAGGATGACACGCGTATAATGAAAGTGGGTGACAAGAAGAGATGGATACACGACCCTAACAGTAAGTATACTTATCGATATACTGACACGGTTTAGTGACGTAAAAGTAACACGAACTAACACTGTTGGTATCTGAGCTTCAACTCTAATATCCGAAGTACGGTTGCCTGATTTTCTGCAATTCCTTTATTACGAAATTCTTCAATTTTACAATTTTTCGGATTTGTACATTTTCAAACTTTTACTTTTAGAATTTTGTATTTTCAAATCCTTAAATTTCTTAGGTTTATGAATTCTTTAGATATTCACATTCTCGCATTACTAAAGGGTGTAGCCTAATTCGTGGTTTTTTTCCACGTAGCTTTTTATTTTTTTTTCTTTTGTAATAATTTAAATAATTTAATTTTGTAATAATACAACAGACTCTTTATCTTTGACCGTTTCAATCGCAGCGTCTTTCTTCTCCTTTCGTTATTCCCTGTTCAAATTCTACCGTCAATTCCGTAAGATTTTTAAGACCCAAATTCCGTAGATTTTTAAGACCTGAAATTTCTGACCCAGTTATCAAAATTTTCAAATTCCCCAGTTACCTATGTTCACAAATAACTATGTAATTAACCCTTTCGCTACGGTGATTTTTTCTGAGAAATGTGATTATGGTCTTAATTATTATAATAAAAAGTCAGATATTCTTATTTATAAAAAGCAAAGCTAAAGCCTTTCTATACAGTTTTTTATCCTTCCTTTATGTACAAAGGATAATACAAATGACAAATGTTATAACACGCCGTCATAACTCTTTTTTATAAAAACTTTTTAATCGCTAGGAAAAAACTCTGTTGGTATAAAAGTGGGCGCCTATAGGTGCTCTCAGTAATACAAACACAAGGGGTTAAACTCTACATTAAACTAGCAAATCTATAAATTCTCACGTTTCCGATATTAATCAAATTTCTCCGAATGAATGTATAACTTATATACCAGTACTAAATTAGCCCATACCCCGACTAAAAATTACGCTATAAACGAAGGAACGTCGCCGAATACAAATTCGAAGTCTATTCGTAACTTCGTCCGTGCAAAGGAAGTTAATTGACGGTAGAACAGAGCGAAAATAGAAGAGAAATTCGTGACGCATCTCACGAGGTGATGGAAAATATTCGTCGCGAACCAGCAGCCATGCGAACCGGCCCGGAATCGATAAATCAGATCTCCTTTTTCATCCCTTCCCTACGACCCTCTATTTTTCTGCCGGTTCCTGGCGTGCTACGTGCGTTCGTTAAATTGAATCGCGTCGTGCTAGCTGCCGGCTCTGGAATCGTCGGCATGTTAGCCGCAATTACTTTGTCCCCTTTCAGCAGAAATAACCGCGGAAGTCTGCCCGGTGATTCGAGGGTGGTCATAATAATAGGTCCGCGGGTTAACCCTTTGTACCTCCACAACCGACAACGTTGCGTTCGTCGCTCGTATGGTACAACTGGCTGCGAGGGTTTACGCGAAAGTCGCACGCGTTTCCTTTCGAATCTTGCGTTCTGATTACGCAACTTTTTTTCGAAATTTTAACGTTGAAAGCTTGATATTAATTTTTATGTTCGCAAGGTTTTAAGTTCAACAATTTCGATAGCTTTTAAGGAGGATCAAAGTAAATTTGAAATTTTTATGAATGAGAAGTTTTCGAGTTACGAAAATGGAAAAGTTTTAACGTTCTCAGGTTTTAAAGTATCAGAATTCTCAGAATTGTAAATTCCCTAGAGACTCAGTACGGGGTTAAACTCTACATTAAACTAGCAAATCTATAAATTCTCACGTTTCCGATATTAATCAAATTTCTCCGAATGAATGTATAACTTATATACCAGTACTAAATTAGCCCATACCCCGACTAAAAATTACGCTATAAACGAAGGAACGTCGCCGAATACAAATTCGAAGTCTATTCGTAACTTCGTCCGTGCAAAGGAAGTTAATTGACGGTAGAACAGAGCGAAAATAGAAGAGAAATTCGTGACGCATCTCACGAGGTGATGGAAAATATTCGTCGCGAACCAGCAGCCATGCGAACCGGCCCGGAATCGATAAATCAGATCTCCTTTTTCATCCCTTCCCTACGACCCTCTATTTTTCTGCCGGTTCCTGGCGTGCTACGTGCGTTCGTTAAATTGAATCGCGTCGTGCTAGCTGCCGGCTCTGGAATCGTCGGCATGTTAGCCGCAATTACTTTGTCCCCTTTCAGCAGAAATAACCGCGGAAGTCTGCCCGGTGATTCGAGGGTGGTCATAATAATAGGTCCGCGGGTTAACCCTTTGTACCTCCACAACCGACAACGTTGCGTTCGTCGCTCGTATGGTACAACTGGCTGCGAGGGTTTACGCGAAAGTCGCACGCGTTTCCTTTCGAATCTTGCGTTCTGATTACGCAACTTTTTTTCGAAATTTTAACGTTGAAAGCTTGATATTAATTTTTATGTTCGCAAGGTTTTAAGTTCAACAATTTCGATAGCTTTTAAGGAGGATCAAAGTAAATTTGAAATTTTTATGAATGAGAAGTTTTCGAGTTACGAAAATGGAAAAGTTTTAACGTTCTCAGGTTTTAAAGTATCAGAATTCTCAGAATTGTAAATTCCCTAGAGACTCAGTACTTAAAAATTGGAATATTTGGCATTATGACTTAAACTTTCAAATTCATTAATTTACGTTTTAGATATCGAGCAAGAGATGCCATAAATTTTCTCGATGTCAAGTTCGTAAAATCCTTAAAATTCAAGATCTCTTAATTTCCAGTTCTTAAAATCACTAAATTCCCAAAATTCCAAATTCCCTAGATTCTAGGAGATTCTTATTGCCTAGGTATTAAATTCCCTAGATCCTTAATTCACTGAAGTTTACATATAATAAATAGCAAATTCCCCAGATTCCAAATTTCCCAAATTCCAAATTCCCCAGATTTCAATTTCCCCAAATTTGAAATTCCTCAGATTTCAAATTCTCCGAATTCTAAATTCCAAATTCACCAAATCCCAAATTTCTCAGATTCCAAATTTCCCAGATCTCAAATTCTTCAAATTCCAATTTCCCCAAATTCCAAATTCCCCAAATTCCAAATTTACCAAATCCGAAATTCCCCAGATCTCAAATTCTCCGAATTCCAATTTCCCCAAATTCCAAATTCCCTAAATTCCAAATTTACCAAATCCGAAATTCCCCAGATTTCCAATTCTCCGAATTCCAATTTCCCCAAATTCCAAATTTCCCAAATTCCAAATTCCCCAAATTCCAAATTTACCAAATCCGAAATTCCCCAGATCTCAAATTCTCCGAATTCCAATTTCCCCAAATTCCAAATTTCCCAGATTCCAATTCCCCAAACTCCAAATTCACCAAATTCCAAATTCCCCAGATCTCTATTTCTCCAAATTACAATTTCCCCAAAATCCAAATTCCCCAAATTCCATATTCCCCAAATTCCAAATTCCCCAAGTTCTAAATTCACCAAAGTCCTCAAATCCCTAATTCCCCAAATTCTCAAATTCCTCAACTCCTCAAACCCCCACTCTCAAATTCCCCAAATCCCAAATTCCGTAGAATCCAAAATCCTCAAATTTCGAGAACTCAAAAATTTCCTAAAACTCTGCCCAAATTCCCTATCTCCAAAATACCGTCTGAAAAGACACCATCGACTAAAAATTTGTCGAGTGATCCACATTGTACTTAGACGATAACAATCAATGATCGTAGACAAACTCCAGGAACGAAACTGATAAATTTCCCAACGGGGTCCACGCAGGATATACTCTAGCCAACATTTTTTTTTACCGTGCGTTACTTGTTTGCGTGCTCGTAAAATGAATGAAAGGACGAAAGGAAAATAGTAGCGGAGCATTAAAGGGACGGGGTGCGACGAACCGCATAGTAAAAGATAAAAGAACTGAATTGTTATCGTAGCAATAACGAAACGAGTACACACGATTACATTCATTCTTTGTGTGTTGTTCTCGCCAGACTGATCTAACCGTGCAATTTACAAAAGAATCGTATTTGTTTTCACCCATACAAACCAGTCCCCCCGTCCTCTTCGCTAACGATTGAAAACGTAATCCGTTTGTTTCCCGTCGAACGTGTAATACCTCCTATCCCGTACGTTGCCTCATTGTAAGATAAATTCATTCAGAAATACAAAAGCTTTGAATTGAATGCGCCTGATACATTAGCGGCAATAAAATACCATAGAATGTTTAATGGATTACAGCTGTAACGCGTCGTCTACGAATACTCCGATATTTGTTACATCGATGTTTATCGTTCCCCTATCAAAGGGTGGGGTCGCGTTCCGATACGCTTTGCACGTGAAAATTTGCATTTTTTTCATTTGCGAGATGTTAATGCGTTATTAGAGCGAGAAGAGGCCCGATACGGTTCGATGTGGTTATTATTAAAACGAGGAACAGCTTGGACGAAAGGGGAAGAAGAGAAAAAAAGAACGGGGGCTGAATTCATTGTTGCGCGCTTTGTGCGAAAAGTTAATCAAGAACGAGTTTCGGTACAGTATTGCAAAGCAGCTCGAAGGAATAGGTAAAAGTTACCTACCCCTGGACCGATTAACATAATACTGCATAATTTGCGTACCAAAGGTTCCTCAAACTTCGTCGGGAAACTTTAATGCTCTCCACCCTTCGCCCCCGAAGACTTCTTTCGTTTTCCCTTTTTTCCCATGGCGACAGAATTTGCACTTCGAGAAGTAGGTTAGCCACCAACTTCCAAGTAATTGGCTATTTAGCCGCGGATAAAACGGAACACACGGCCTAGCGAAGTACTCGAACGAAAGAACAAGAGCATTTTTTAAATCACTAAATACTTTATTGATTTCAAATCTCAAAGAAATGTAGAAATTTCAGGGATTGCAAAACTGTATTCAGAGAAACAGAAGGTACACAATTTTCAAATTTACAAATTTCAAAATTTTGGTACTTGGAAATTTTGGAATTTCTGATATTTAGGAATATAGGGAATTTTTTCACTCGAGAATTTTTTTGTTTAGGAACTTTCGGAAGATTGGGAGATATCT